GCCTGGACTTGTGGTCGGTAACCTATTCTACTGGCACTGAGCCACCATAGTGATGAGGAAGCAGACAACCTGGCTGTCTCCGCACACAGCATCATCTCCTTCTCTCCGGAGAATGCAGCTCCCTTTCGTCCCAGCAGCACTGCAGATTCCATTCTCCCTGTTTCAGAATGCGGGTGGACCAGCCATTGCAATGGGGGCAGATCACACAGTGAAGAAAGGACTAGAGTGAGCCTACGCCTGTGGACTGGGGCTGGGTTAGAGAAGGGGTACCTTAGCTAGGAGCTGGAGCCACCCTCACTGCAGCCTGACACAAGCTAGGAGCCTCAGCGCAAAAGGAGGAGTAGAAAGCAGAGTGTGGAAAGCCTGGAGGTGAGAAAGTGGCTCCTAGGAACTTAGACAATGATGGGCAAGGGAGGGAGATGTAACTGCAATCAGAGGGAGGACTGGGAGCAGGGAAGGTACCAGCTGTAGCCACCAAGGGCACATTCTAGATAGCCAGAGTTTCCCTTCTCTCCAGTGCGGGTAAGAACCTGGTCTCAGAATCTGCCTTGTAAGGGTTTCTCAAGGTGCCTTAACCCTAAAATAGAAGCCATGATGTGATGGGAGGGCGGGGGGACAGCATGAACGTCAGACTGTAGAAGACACGGATTGGGGTGCTTCTCCTTAGAAGATGCTTGACTTTGGGTACATCACTTAGCCTCAACTTTCCAATATGAAAAATGGGGATGTGGCAATTGTGACGGCATGCATGTCCTGCAAAGGCTCCAGCCAGAGGAAACCCCAGCAGTGAAGAGGGAAGTGAACATGAAGTCCCGTCCTAGCTGAGGGATTGCCGGTAACTGACAGCTGCTGGGAGAAGCAGAGCTTGTTTTTGGTAAAGGCGTGTCCCCTGTTGGACTGATTACACTGCAACATCTGGGCAGCACAAATTGGACTTGATGGGTTAAAAAAAAAAAAAAAGATAAAACGTTGGGTGGGCAGGGAAGTGGGGTGGATCTAGGAGGAGCTGGGGGAGGGGGTATGATCAAACCACAATGTATGAAATTCTCGATTAATAACATTATTTTAAAAGAATTGTAGCATGACTGGATTATAAAATGTAGCTATACTAACCTGTCAGGGGCCAGCGGGCAGTGCTCTGTAACACACATAGGCAGACAGGCACGCTGGCCCCACCATCCACACACGGGCACCCTGGGCCCACCAACCACACACAGGCCTGCTGGACCCACCACCCACACACGGCACACTGGACCCACATCCACACACGGGCACACTGGCCCCACCAACCACACACAGGCACAGTGGTCCCACCATCCACACACGGGCACACTCGACCCACCATCTACATCCTTCAGAAATACAAGTCCATAGCAACCATCCAATAAGACTAATTTTATTAAAAAGAACCTGATACTCAGAATATTTACTAACTTCTTTTAAGGTCCCAAAACTAGTAAGCGACAGGATAGGGACTGACCTACGTTTTCTGCCTTATACGTATTTACATACCATGTCATTCCTCGCACTTGATCCTGTGTGTTGACATCCAACATGTCAGTTTTGCTACAGTGATTCCCTCTAGTCTTCTCATTATGGTGGAATTTGCTTCTGAGCTAGAAGCAATCCATACTGCAGAGTCTCAGTGGGAAGAGAAATTCCTATCAGAACACAGCAGGCTTAGGATCAGGCTGTGGGGATAGAGAAACCACTGGTGTGCCCGAGGGAATGGCTACGAAGGGCCCACAGCAGTCTCAACTCATTGCAGCCTTCAGGAGCATAGGGCTGAATCTTGGCAGGGTCAACACACGAGCTTAACCTTTTAAGACAGATAAATTGAGTTCTTGGAATGCCCCTGTTTAGTGGACTCATAGGGGTCTTCCAGATGAGCCCCTTGCTAAGTGAAGGTCTGCTTTGCATCAATTTTACACAGTCTCAAGATAATCTCTGGCTGGGTCTCCACAAGGCCAAAGCCAGCTGTGGAAAGTTCAGTGCATCAGCTCTTAATCTGCAAGGGAGAATTGCTTGTGTTGCTCATAGCAACGTTACTTATCATAGCAGAGTTTGGAAACTGCCTATTCCTCCAAAAATCGAGAGGTATTTAAATAAGTTCTGATCCATTTGTAGGAGGCAGGAAGGAAAAGGGTACCGTCAGTGGCTACTATTGCTTTCTTAGGATCCAAGCATCTTACCCAGGCATGGCTTTTATACCTGTAGTTCTAGCACTCTAGAAGCTGATACGGGAGAATCATAAGTTCAAGGCCAGCCTGAACCATGTAGGGAGATCAGTGTCAATCTATTAACATGAAATTTAAAGAGCTAGGGATGTAGTTAATGGTAGAGCACACACACTGCGTGCAGGAGGCCCTGTTCATGGTCCAGTACAGAAACTAGAGTAAAGGAAGGAAGAACCAAAGACCCTCCAACTGGCTACTTCTTTAAAGCAACTGACAACGCACAATTGTGCCACAGCACTGATACAAGCTCAGGAGGCTGCTTTGGGGACACTATAGTGTTTCTGTTTACTAGACACCTTCACAGGTAGCCCACCTTGTATTTTTCTAACCATGACTGCTACAAATACCTTCTTTTCCAGTGGAATTTATGAGAACGGGGTGTAATTCATGCTAGACGTGGGTGTTAAATCCTTTGTGGCGCTGAAAGATATGAAACTCTTGGCAAAATAAAAGTTCAGATGCCATATCTGTTAAATATATGTCCCGATTAATTATTTAAGGTCATTTTTTTTTCTGCCATGTGGAAACTTTCCCTAGCCTAACAACTTTTCGAGGTCCAATTCTGACACTGTAACAGCAGCAACCAATACTTCAGAGCCTGCGAGCAAGAATTCTCTAGTAATAAGTTTTACCAGCGATGAGGGGAAGCTGGGGCGGTCCGGCATTTCTTGTGCAGACGTAAAATGGGCCAGTCACTTCGGAAAATAGTTTGACAGTTCCTCAAACATTAAATACAGAGTCACGACGTGACCCAAAATTCTCCTCCCTGACACCTAAAAACTAAAAGCCTAAATTCATATAAAAAAACTTGTACATGTGTGCTAACTGCGGCAGCGTTGCTCCCATTAGCCCCTCAAAAAGGAAACAACCCAAGTTCCTATCAGCTGGTGAACAGACAAACAAAGCAGGTCATAGCTATAGAAGGGAACACTATTCAGCCATAAAAATGAGGTGGCCAAACGTGTACTACAAGGTGGATGAGATCTGAGAACACTCTGTGAAAAGACGGAGGCCCCCCGATACAAAATCTACATTAAAGAGACAGAGAATTGGTGATTGTCTAAGCTGGGCATTTGGGAGAAATGGAAATGGAATTTCCCTTTGGGGCGATGCAAATGCTCTCAACTGGATTGTGGCAATGGTTACACCGCTCAGCTATGAGAAAACTGTCAAATTATACTTTATGTGGGTAGATTGTATGGTATGTGAATTATATCTCAATCAAACTGTTGAAAAGAAACTCAAAGACAAGTGTGCTCTTTGACTAAACTCAGGGTCACACACAGTGGGGAGGTGGAGGGCTTGCTTCTCTAAATTTGGAAGGACTGAGGTCCCTGAAAGTTGAGTTTTCAAATTTATAAAATGTGTCTGGAGCCGTCAACAAGCATGGTGTCCCCAACCGAGAAGAGGAGAAGAGCGGTACACTGGGTTACAGGGTTGATACGCTGAAACAAGGCCATCCACCGTGTCCCGCTCTGGACCTGCGTAGAAAAGATCATTTCTACCATCACAAAAGCCAGTGGCAACCCATAATCTTCACAGTGTTCAGCGCTCCCAGCTCTGCCCTCGCCTTAACCAATTGATCCTAATCTGTTTGTCAGAGGCAAAGCGATCCTGACATATCTTTCTCTTGAGCCAGGAGGACATTCCCACATCATAATCACATCCTTATAGAAATTGGAAACGCATGTTCAAGCCGTGGTGGTCCTGCATAAGTCTAAACCCGGATAGTGTTTCTCGACTCCCCGTCATCATCCGTTTTGTACCAAGGAACAATCAGAGTTTCGCCAGCCTATACGATGACCGATAGCTTTTTCATAAAAGAATATTTTACAAATTATTGAAACGCAGCCCATTTCTACCTGATAAATGACTGGACCTGTGCACTTTGACCTCTCGTTGGCCTTTGTTGCTTGCGACCTTGCTCAAATGATTAATGTCCTTTTAACAAGTGCAAGCCACGGAAGGCTGCCTGCACTCACTGCGTGCAGAGTCCTTGTTTGGGACAAAGGGAAGTTGTTCAATCATAGAACTGCTGATAAATGTGCAGAGGCGGTCAGATCATTTTTATGTATTTTTATATGCAGAGATGGTCAGATCATTTATATATTTTTGGATACTCTACTAAAAGGCAGGAGCTTGCAGATTATGTATTTTTATACCTACCATGCCCCTTTTATTTATTAATACAGGGTCTCACTGTGTAACTTGGGCTGGCTTGGAGCTCACAGAGATCTGCCTGCCTCTACCTTCCAAGTGCCAGGAGTAAGCCTGTGTACTACTTCACCATGTTCAGATACACTGCTTCCGTTTTTTTTAAGTTTTAAAGAGCCTCCTTTGTTTGAGGAGTCTTATCTGCCTGCTTTTATATTTTATTTTGGGGTTTTGAGGAGATTGTTTTGTTCATTTGTTTACTTGGTTGGGAGGCTTCAGTTTTGGTGGTGGGGGGGCGGTTGAAACTGCAGTCAAGTTACATAGTATAAGCTGGCCTCAATAATCCTCCTACCTCAAGCCTCTAAAGTGGCTGGTTACAGGCATGCTCCACCATGCTTGGCTAGGTTGTTTTGTTAGTTTTTTTTTTTTCAATTATTACTTCCGAAAAAGAGCGTGAACAATATGCTGACACAGCTCTGTCATTCCTAAGTCCAAAGTGATAAAAAATTATGATTTCTTTATCGCACGAGTATTGCTTCATCAGTGTTTTGTGGCCTTGGTACCACTTAGCTCTCTTCATCCAGGCTGATTAATTATATCATTATTAAGCTTTGTGAAGTCTTAATATCATGGCCCCACTGCTAAAATCAAAACCTACAGGCTGAGGATGCAGCTAGTGGTGGAGAGGGCCCAGTCTGCAGGGTCCTGGCTTCATTCCCCTGCCAAAAGAACCAAAATAAACAAATAGAATGAACGGAACACAACAACCCACAATGGTAACAACAAACAAAAAACTTAAATATCAAAGTTCTGGGCTTACCAGCAATCAAGAGATTCTCCAGGCACTAGATGAAAAACAGACTAGCTCTTCCTTAACACCGATGGCTCTAGAAATGGTGAAATGGACCAGGTTTTTTCTGGGTGGCTTATACTAGATTTGGAAGCAAAAGTCAGAAGAAAAAATAAAAGCAGGAGAGAGAGAGAGAGAGAAAGAGAGAGAGAGAGAAAGAGAGAACTATGAGCCATTTTCTTGGCTTACAAAATGTTTTACGAGTCCAATGTCCCCTGAAAAGGTTCATAGAAAATAAATTAAAAGTCTTCAGCAATTTGCTTGGTAGCCATTGCTACTCCCGGGCAGTAAGAGGATATTTGCAATTCTTAAATCAAATGTGTTTGATAGAATTCAGTCTCATGGCTTTGTAAAGAAAGGTCCTCATTAGAGGCGGGGAGGGGGGGGGAGGGAAAAGAGGCTGGGGAGGGAGCATAACTTTGTTTCAAAGACCTCACCTGCCATGAAATCGCCAGGTCACTACATCAACACCACAAACAAGGCACTTCCCACCTCTTCCAAGTCCCACAGCACTGCGGAGGTTGTTTTCCCTGGCAATTTACGTAAAGCTATCATTAGAGTGAGGGTTTTCCTTTCCTTAATGGCTCTAAGGTTAAAGTTGAAAATACCAACTTGATGCAGTGCCGAGATGTGGCCGCATTGAACGTTACTTCCACGTTTTCCAGTAAATCATTTCATTATCCATAATAATCTCCCCTGACTTTACAAAGAATTGCTTTGCTCAACTTAAGGGAAGTCGGATTTAATTCGCTATCTACATCTGCATTCTCCTTTTCTTTTTATAGATTTTTTTTAAAAAACAAGTTATCAGTAGAATCTTCCTTCACTCAAACATAAGTGAAAGTTTTATCTATCTCGAGATATCACTAAAATAATTTATTGCTAGGGAAACAAAACCTTTTGTCTGAAAGTATATTTCTTCCCGACAGCTGTGGTATTTCAGAGAAAGCACCAAAGCCATGATAGTCTGGACTGCAATCAACCGTTCTTAATAGGAAACTTTACAGACTTTTAATAAGATATCCTCCAATAATTTATGGGCCGAGGTTTTGAAGTGAAGAGGCATTGTTTGGCAATATGTTCTTCCTCTAATCTCGGGAAATTTAAATAAAAGTGCACTCATTTCCTCTGAACTCAGCAGTTCTTCTGGTTTAAAAAAAAAAAAAAGATTAAGAAAAACACCTGCTACACCAGTCTGAAAATATGTCTTCCATGCTTCAAGCAAAAATTGTGCTAAGCCAAACAAACAAACAAACACCTTGATGCTGGAGTTTTCCTGCGGACTTTCAGCTTTCTGCTAAAGATTCGGGGAGATGGCTCAGTCCACAAAGGGCTTGCACACAAGCATGAGGTTCTGAGTTCAGGTCCCCAGCCCCTGTGTAAAAAGCTGGGAATGGTAGTGTGTGTTTGTGATCTTCGCTCTGGGAAGACGAGACAGGAGGGTCCCAGAAGCTTGATGGCCAGACACTCTAGCCAAATCTGTGAGGCCCAGGCAACACAGTGAGAGGCCCTGTCTCAGGAAAGAAGGTGGAGACTGAGGAAGGCAATTGACATTAACCTCTGACCTCCACATGTGTGCGCACCACACCCCTCCCAAAGAGAATTCTTCCAAAGAATCCACAGGGTAATACTGTTTAAGCATGATCAGAAAAGTCTTGCCTTGTTTACAAAATATATAGCCTAGTCCCGGAGACTCTCACTGTCTTAGTTCAGTGGGTCTTAATCTGTCCCATAGAAACATCTTTATCTCCCACTCCCATTTTTTTCTGGATATTAATTTAATACTTAATTCTCCCCATTACAGCAACTCCATCCCTCTCCTTGTTTTTACCACCACTCTGCTGTGAGCTTTCTTTTGCTCTTAGTTTATAATGTCTTTCCCTTTTCAAGATGGAACTTGAACGCTTCCTTACCTGTATCTACCACATGGATAGTTTCATCTTCTCAGGCTGCACCAATCCCCTCCCACGTGGGGCAGCAGATGGCATTGTCCGTGCTTTCTTCTCGTGTTTTAATGACCCAGTGTTTGGACTCCCTGGTTCTGTCTTAGGGGGTCTCCTGTGGGGACATAAATTCTGCATCTCTAGAATGTTCCAGTGTAAAGTCAAGGGCTGCTGGCCCTGCCACCACACAGTGAATGGCATGGTATTTAGGTTCCTTCCCACTTCAGATGTCTTATCCTGGGGTTCCAATTAATGTTCCTAAATCCCTGGGCGGCTCCGGAGTCCGGCACCCAAGCAGCAGCGGGTTCCCAACAGCAAGCGGGCGCATGTAAACAGGTGGCGGGTAAAAGGCACATAGACACATAAAATAGGCATAAAACTAAACATTTATTAAAGGAGAGAGAGAGAGAGAGAGAGAGAGAGAGAGAGAGAGAGAGAGAGAGAGAGAGAGAGAGAGAGAGGTGTGCACACACCAGAGGGGACAGTAAGGGAGTTTCAAGATGGCGAGGAGAGGTCAGAAGTAGCAGGGAGTGGGCGTGGCTTGCCCCTTAAAGGGACCAGAAGAATAACACCAATGACCCGTAGAGAGTCTAAAAATGCCCTGGGTTGGCAAGCACTCACTGTTGACCCTTCTTCAGGAAATGCAAGCAGAAACAGGACTGGGTTAGGGGAGCCATCTTAAATGAGTAAGCAGGAAAGGTACTTTATCTTTGTGTTGTTCCGAGAAAAGGTTGTCTTGCTCATTTTCCTGCCAGCTCTTTCTCTTCCTTTGCTCCTGGTAGTCTTGACTCCTTTCCTCCACATACATTCAGATGGGCAGCCTCTGTACTCACAGAAATTTTCCTTTCATTCAGCAACCATCATTCAGAAGTTTACAGGTCTGTAATGTTAGGAAGGAAAGGGGGATGCCCAATTATACCTCTGATGGATGTCAAAGCATAGCTGTGTTCTCTAAGAAAGTAAGAAATGAGAACTTCATCTCACCTGTTCCCGAGATACCCAGGGTCTTAACCACCATCGAGGAGACTTGGTTCTCTAGTACCTGATTTTTCCTGCATCGTCCGTGCTGTATCTGTAGCTAGAAATGATTCTTCTGAAGCCTTCGGCCAAGATATGAATTAAGATTTCCTCCAAGTTTTAAAAAATAATCCATTAGCTCAAAACCCAGGGATGTGGTGTGGGCAATGTTTCATGGCTTTTTCTCATCTGGATTAAAGGTATACTAACTTAGAAAGATGGAAAATGGAGTCTCCCCTTTTCTCATATCTCCGTTTCCATTTTCTGCATTCTTCAAGTGAACAGATCAAAGATAATGACCTCAGTTTCCTATTTAACTTTGTAGATGAACATCCAATTTAATAAAAGACTTCAAGAACATTTGTTCGCTGGGTACATGTGAGTGGAAGGAATTTCCAAGACATTACTTTTTTGTAAAATTTCCAAATCCATTTGCATAAGCCTTGGGTCAGATTGCTTGAGTCATTCAGAGATCAAAACAACCAATGCCTGACCACTCAACGGCCTTAGCAACAACAGGCAAAGCAAACAAACAAAAGGGCAGAGAAGAGGGAAGGAGAGCAAGCTACATTCTGCACCATGAGGGATAAAGGGGAGCTGCTTGGCCACTGTCACCAGTGCAAGGGATTGATGTTATGGCCGATGACACATGCATGACCTTAGTTCAGAAGCTGCTGCTGTTGCAAGCAATCTTAAAAGTGGCTTGAAAAAATAGCCCTCTTCATTGTATCACACAACTTTGTATGCCGGGATTTTGACAGACCCAAAAACTCCTCTGTGTAATACTAACAGAGGCCACCTGGGGGATGAGCTCATTGCTAAGACGTAAGATGGCCTTGTGGCCTGGTCTGGTCATTTGACAGGATGGCTGTAGTATCAGTTTGGCTGGGAAGGACTGAACTGCTTTGAGTTAGAACTGAGAACTGCCAGTGTTTCAGTGACAAAGGGAATCTGTGTCATATTTTATGATCCAGCTTTGGAGGTCACATAACATCACTTCTCCATATTCTTTTGGTTAAAGCAACCATAGGTCCATCATATTAAAGGGGAGGGGACAAAGACCCCCCCACACACACACACCATCTCTTGAAGGGAGAAATGTCAAAGAATTATGGTCATTTCAAAACCTGCCAAGAAATACTTTTAGGAATGTATCAATACATTCAGAGATCAATAATTATTGACTACCACTGTGAATTTAAACTCAACTGTACACACCTTCAGCATACATATAAAAATATACTTGAAACAAAACCTTCGTACCCTAACATTATATTGAGATGTGCAAAGTAATTATTTAATTGGGAAAAAGAAATTTGGTGTTTGGTTGGAGGCCCTCACTGTTGATGTTATATTTGAGTTCTACTTTGTCTTTTACTTTATTTTTTATCTTTAAAGATGTTTGTTATTATCTTTTTAATCTATTTGATGAATATTAATATCTTGCCTGCATATATTTCTGTGCACCATATGTGTGCCTGGTGTCCTCAAAGTGTGGAACTGGACTTCCAGAAGGTTGTGAGCCTCTGTGTGGGTGCTGGGAATGGAACCTGGGTCCTCTGGAAGAGCAGCCAGTGCTCTTAACCACTGAGCCATCTCTCCAGCCCCTGAGTACTACCACAAAGCTTGTAAACATTGCAATCTATTGTTAACTGTGTGACAATAAATTGTAGCTCTTGCTAATCACAATATCCTGCTAACTTACTCTAAAGTATTTTCCAGGTTAGGGTTCTATTTGTTCCTTCTGGAGGGTGTTTTGAAACCAGGTGTGGTGGTGTACCTATAGTCCAGCACTGGGGAGGCTGAGGTAGGAGGATTATGAGTTTGAGGCCAGCCTGGGCTAAACAGTGAGTTAAAGGCTGATGGGATTAAAAATAATCAAAGGTATTTGCTGTCTATGAATTAACAATACACAGGACACTAAAGACTGTCGTTGATAACAGCAGTCACAATATGCTGGTGGCTTTGGACCGGCTGTTATATTAAATCCTTCACTTAGTATCTCCACAAGCCTCCCCCTAACTCTGTAAGTAGGCTACTGACCTATTAATATTTTCACATAGTAAAATACATTGGAAATTAAACATGAGATGTTCATATTTTCAGGTATTCGCTGCTGCATTGCTTTCCCTGCTTTATTGTCTGTTGAAATATCCATGTTCTTACTAAAAAAGAAACCTGTAAAAACCTGGAAGACTGGGGCTGGAGAGATGGCTCAGTGGTTAAGAGCATTGCCTGCTCTTCCAAAGGTCCTGAGTTCAATTCCCGGCAACCACATGGTGGCTCACAACCATCTGTAACGACAGCTGCTGCCCTCTTCTGGTATGCAGAAGAATATTGTATACACACAGACAGAATATTATTACATAATAAATAAATATTTAAAAAAAAACCTGGAAGACTGAGGGCCTAGAACAGGCAGACTTACAAGAGAAAGCTACACTCTTGTCTTACTAGAGAAAGCCTCCTAGAGAGCACTCTCTGGACACCTGGCCCACACAGATAATTTGATTCTGAAATAACCTCTTCCTAGCTGCTTGTATATAAGTCAACTAAATATAAGTATAACTGGGGAGTGGTTGCCAAAAGATTCAGGGTCTCTACAAGAGGTGATTAAAATATTCTAGAATCAAATTGTTTCCCTAATTACTACTTTCTTTAAAAAAAAAAAAGCCCACTAAATTATGTTTTTAAAGGCAAATTTTATAGTATGTGGATTATATCTAACAATACAAAATATCAATACTACACAAGCCTTATAGAAGTCAGAAAAAGGAATGTTATTAATTCTGAAAACCTTTTGCAATATTTTAAATAGCAAGAGACATTATTATATGCAGTACGTTATGTTGAAAAAAATCTAATTTATACCGGCTACCGTGTGTGTTGACAGTACCGGATACTGTGAGTGTTGATGGTACCGGCAACAGTGGGCAGTCAGGCAGAATGGGGAGGGAGTTATTACTCTCTGCCGCTTGTCCCCACACAACAGTAGACAGTGTGTGAAAACCTCACCAGCCACACTCCTTAAACTGCTCATCAAAATGTCAGGGAAGGGACGCAGCCCAGGCTCTCCGACCTTGACCTAAAGCAACGGTGAGCACCAGTCAGCACCGCTGGATCAACGTGGACGCTCACACAGTCGGTTTTCACACACTGTCTGCTCTTGTTTCGCTCTGGGAGTCACCACTGTAGAAACGACGAGCGGGGCAGTGAGGTCCTTCTGGTACATGGTCTTATCTAATAACCCTCTCCCTCCAAGTTCTCAGGCTTGTCTTGGCACTGAGTGCTCTTGTGGTACCTGGACTCCTCTGCTGTACCTCTCCGCTGTCCCCTCTGACAGTGCCCTGAGCTCCCAGGTTAGTCATGTCTTTCCATCGATGCTCCCATGCTCCGGTGGGTCCTCACCAGCTCCTCCCAATGGGGGCTAGCCCAATAAGCCTGTTGGGTGATGCTCTAAAGACAGCGCACACCTTCACATCTGTAACACGAAGAGGTCTGGCCTGCTTGTTGTTGGGGTTTTTGTCCTGCCCTGTACCCCACAACTGTTTAGCCCCAAAGAAAATCGCACATAGGTCTCCATAAATTATAAGCTGATTGGCTCATTGCCCTAGCCTCTCACTGGCCTACTCTCACATCTTGATTAACCCATTTTTCTGATCTATGTTAGCCATGTGGCTCAGTACCTTTTTTCAGTGGGGCAGATCACATCCTGCTGCTTCCGTGATCTGGGCAGGAGTGGGAGGAATCAACTTCCTCCTTCCCAGAATTCTCCTGTTCTCATTACATCATTTCTAACTACCTGTCTTGTTTTCCCACCTATATTTCCTGCCTGGCCAATCAGCGTTTATTTCTAACATGATTGACAGAATACAGACAATTCTCCCCCACCACACATCAGTGGCCTTAGCCATTGTGAGTATCCTGGGTTACTCAGGGCGCTTTATGTGCCTCTCAAAAGAGGCTGTTTACAGTGTACCTTGACCCAAGGATCAGGCTCTAAGGAAAGTGGTAAATGGGAGGGAATTTGGGGAACTAGAGATTTCCCAGGCAGGCACGAATCACATCTCACGTGTGTCATGTTCTCTGCGGCAGTGCTAAACACACAGGCTTCTGAGGTTCATTAGTTTGTATGTGGAGAATGGATGCTGCAACTTTAATGCAGAATTACTTATTATGAGATGAATGCTATGTGTGTGGCCTGAAAAATGGGGAGCTTTTTACTTCCCTGAGCACCTAATCGGCAAACATGTATTACAGCCGATCATGTGCAGGGCTGTCCCGTCTACACCACGCCCCAGCCCAGCAAGGGATCTCTGAGGCTCTGCTGAGGACCTTTTCCCTTCTCTCATCACTGTGGCCTCAGGGGCTCAGCTCCAGTAACTTCCTTTAGTATGTGCTACCCACACCTCATTATGAGACAGGATTGCTTGTGGAACCTACCAATTAGGTTCACGTAGCCAGCCAGTGAGCCCTGGCGATCTTTTTGCCTCTGCCTTCCCAGTATTGAGATTATAAGCATGTAGCTACAAAACAGCATTTTGTTTGTTTGTTTATTTTTTGGGTTTTCAAGACAAGGTTTCTCTGTGTAACAGTCCTGGCTGTCCTGGAACTTGCTTTTTAGACCAGGCTGGCCTTGAACTCACAGAGTTCTGATTGACCCTGCCTCCCGAATACTGGGATTAAAGACCACGTTAGCACGGGTCTGGGGATTGAACTCAAATTCTCATGCTTGCATGGCAACCATTTAACAACCGATCTGGGGAGATAGCCTGTCTCTGGCTTTTTGGATTTGAGGTTTTCTCTTTTTGCTTCTTGCATATGTGTGGAGCTGGAGGTTGAATCTAGGATCTGAGGCATCCTAGGAAAGCCGTCTACTGACCTGCATTCTCGGCCAGCAAGTCTAAACTCTGCCTTCATCCACTATTAATATCTCATCTACCTCTATTTCCACTACATCCTATAAAGCCTGTCCAGTCTCCCAGCAAAGTTACAGTAGCATCAAACAGGAAGTGGCAAAAGAGCGACTCAAAAGCCAAATGTGTACAATGTTTAGTCTGCACAATGTTTTAACAATATTGCGACTATGTGCCAATATACCAAAACAATTATATATAAAGATACAAATTTCTTGCTTTTTGAAAAAATTTTAAAAGTCATTTTTTATTAAAATAAATCAAATCTTAGGGCTTCTACTGATGTGAAGAGACACCATGACCACAGCAACTCTTATAAAGGAAAACATTTAATTGGGGCTGGTTTACAGTTCCAGAGGTTTAATCCTTTACATTACGATGGGACATGGTGGTGTGCAGACAGACATGGTGCTGGAGAAGGAGCTGAGAGTTCTACATCTTGATCTGTAGGCAGCAGAAGCAACTGTGTGTCACAAAGGGCATAGCTTGAGCATAGGAGACCTCAAAACCTACCCACCACAGTGATACACTTCCTCC